CATCAGAGATTACTTTCTATTATTGGTATCATGTAACCTAGCAAAACCTGTCACATATTACTTCGAGATGAGATAGCAATTTCAAGTAACTCTAATTGGCCTGTGAAATATCATGAAGAATTTAGTATCACAAGGACACATGGCACAGTGGATAAAGGCATTGGTTAAATCCAGTGACAGGACCCAAAAAGTGTGAGTTCAATACCTGGTTAAGGCAGTGGAGAACTTGGAAAGGGGAATTAACAGAAGTACTACTGCCATATATGTGCAGGTACTGCTCAATCTTCTCTTTCCACTCTTGATAGAGTTCAAAAGTGTCTCTGCCTAAGTTTAAATTTCTATGACCGAGTTGGCTAAGGCGACATCCATGAAAGAGAAGTTACTAGGATATGAAATATAAGTCTTGTTCAAAGTTGCTTTCTTAATCATATTCCATCTTTAATGGTTCGAGAATATTGAACCAAGAATGCCGTGATAAAAAATAAACTTCTATGACTGATTATTTACTTTATTTAAACTGTTATCCTCATCTTCATTGCCACATTCCTTTAACTCAAGTTTTTTTGTTCACCACTACTGTAGGGAAATAACTGAGACATCCAGAAGAGGCATGGCACGTGGAACTAGAACAATCCACCCTGGTGGACCAAATAAAGGGTTTGGTTTGAAATTCCAATCACCTGAAGAAGGCTGGAGTGTACAATGGCCAAAATGTTGTGAGTATGGCAATCAAGATGATGATAACAGTCCAAATAAAGTAAATAATGATAATACCTCATCTCAGAGATATAGACAGATATTCTATGACTGCTAAGGCAGATGAATGACAAGCTACCAGGATACAGGATGTAAATCTTGTTGAAAGCTGCTTCCATTTTTTATTTTTATTATTTATATTCCATCTTTAATGGTTGGAGGATATTTAACTTAGAATTCCGTGATAAATATCATCAGTAAGATGATAAATAAATAATAAAAATTCATTTCAAAATACTGTCCGAATTTCTGGGATTGATTCATTGATTGGTTTGTCTTCTACGGCTTACCAACTTTTTGCAGGTTATTTAAAACTAGAAAATGTTTTTAGATTGTAAGAATTTTTTTTAAGATAATGATTTAGTGATACAAGTCATTATTTAACCCATAGTGGGAGGGGAAGAAGTAGATTCATACCCTTCCCAAAGTTATCTGCATGTAATTGAATATAACAAACCCAACTGGAAGTAGAACTTAGCTTTCTGATTAACAATTCTGAGACATTACACAATTTTCACATCCAAGCTTACAGTCCCTTGCATTCCCAAATTTCCCATTTAGGTAATGACTGAGCTCAATGTTGCTTAACTCTGGTGATCATATGAGAACTGGTGTTTCAACACGATCTGGCCATAAGTCACCCCCCACCACATATACAAGCTTACAACACCTGGTACTCCCAAGTGGTTACTCATCTAGGTACTGACCAAGTTCAATGTTGCTTAACTTCAGTGATTCACTCTCTGATTAACAATTCCGAGTCATTATCCAATACTACACCACCTGCACATCCAAGCTTACAGAAGATGGTATTTCCAAGTGGTTACCCATCTAGGTACTGACCAAGTTCAATGTTGCTTAACTTCAGTGATTTACTCTCTGATTAACAATTCCGAGTCATTATCCAATACTACACCACCTGCACATCCAAGCTTACAGAAGATGGTATTTCCAAGTGGTTACCCATCTAGGTACTGACCAAGTTCAATGTTGCTTAACTTCAGTGATTTACTCTCTGATTAACAATTCCGAGTCATTATCCAATACTACACCACCTGCACATCCAAGCTTACAGAAGATGGTATTCCTAAGTGGTTACCCATCTAGGTACTGACCAGCCTTAACATTGTTTAACTTAACTTCAGTGATCTTATGGGGACTAGTGTTTCAATGCGAAATGGCTGTAAGCCAAAACATATTTAGGAGTGTAATAATTCTTTTTTTTTTTTTATATGTTAGTGAATATAGCATTAACAAATCTTTAGGAACTCTTTCCAGGCAACAGTCCTACTATTTAACTCATAGCTAGGGAGAGAATAGAGGGGATCTTACCTTTCCCAAGGGTATTTGCATGTAAGTGAATGTAATTGGTGAAGAGAAAATATTCTGAACTGCTCAAGTTAAAAATAAAATATTTGGAATCAGCAAATTTATGCTTGCAACCAAGCACAGGAAATAAGCAAGTATTGATGGTATCAAAAATCATTTTGATTATTGGATAAATTTTAACTAGCATGAATGAAGACATTCCAAAGGAAGGCTGTACGCTCATAGAAAAGACATGATGCACAAAAATGGACAAATATCAGTGATAGAAATCACCGAACAAAATGGCAGCATTTATTACACGATAAAAGTAGTGTAGACAATTGAATAAAACGCTATATATATATATATATATATATATATATATATATATATATATATATATATATATATGTATGTATAAAATGGACATAAATTAGAAGTCTATTATTGTTATCCAGCAGAGAGATATATTAAAATATATTCATAAATAGGTACAAGGTCCCTATGGAATATTTCCAGCTATTTTGAATATTAAAAATGAACAGACACTCTCCCATCCTATGAGGTTACTCAGTCAGCACAAAGATATCAGTGAGTAAGCTGTATAAATGAGAATAATTATGTTTTTAAATTTTGGACTTAGGGGTGCAAAAGTGAAGTGGGTGCCAGAAAAATAACTATGATTTTTGTTCCCCACCTCCATCCCTTTCTTTTTTACTAAGTACATTTTATTCTTTTCATTTTAGGATTGTCCATGATAGAAATAGTAGTATTTATAATGTGATACAAAATAGTATAGCAAATTAAATGATTATATCATTATTTTTTTTCTAGTTACATGTGCTACACATTTTTTTTTATGTTGCAGCTGCTGGAAGTCTTCAACTGATGTGGTTCTCAGTATTTGATAAAGATCTTCATTTATGATTTTGTTGTGCCAGTCTGATGAAGGATAATATTTTAATAGTATACTAATCTAGCTTCACCATTACTCCACACAATGGTATGCTTATTTGCTAATATAGCTTTGTCTACACCTTGTAGATGCTGTCTGTTTAATCAAAGTGTTCCAGCTTAATATAGAGGTGTAAGCCTTTGTGATAATCAAATGATGCCAAATGGGTCACAAGGCAAAAACATTCAAAAGATTTCACTTATTATAAACAAAGTTTATTTCTTATCAATGTTTGGTTATATCAGACCCTTAATTACAAAAACATGGAAACGAAAACAGTTCAGTTGATGCCCAACTCAATCAGCACAAACCTAACTTATATAAATGATCAGTCTCATCAATAAAGAAGCAATGAACGAATTGTTCAATATACAGCACTTAATTTAAACATCAGCTCATAATTATACAGTTGATTTGCAAAGATCAGCATGGTAATTGTACGGATGAGCTCTTTGCTATGGTAACTGAAATTTTTGAACTTAAGTGCCATTCTAGACTGGTGTTGAGATCTCATCAATTTACAGTTGAGCTGGCTAGATGTAATTGTAAATTCTATGCTAAGTTTCTTTTCTTGTAGAACTCCCTTCTGGCTCCATGCTTTCAAGCCAACTTTAATCTTTCAAAATTTATATGCAATGTCAATTGCTATCTGCAGTCCCCCTGATTCCTTGTTTTGTTCTCACTCCTTAGTAATGTTTCTGTTTCTAATTCTTCCACACTCGATAAAATCTTGTGTCTTAGTGGCTTTACTGCCTTGTATGGTGGTGAACAATTAATAAAAAATGATGTATTAATGATAAAGGTTCAATATATAGAACTATAACGATGGTTCATTTATTAAAGAGATAAGAGATGGCAAATTATACACTCAGATCAATGTGAAGCAATGATGGCTCATCTACATGTACAAGAAAATGTGGATACTCAGAATGGCAGAAACTAATTTTAAAAATAGGGTTTTTCTCTAAAATGAAGAAAAAAATGAAAGCATTAATTTGAATCCTTATGAATTGTGAGATTAAAAGAATAAGTCAAAATAGAAAATTATTTTTAGTTATGCAAATTTAAATTCTGATATCTTAAGATTTCCATTCTGTTAAAATAATTTTTTCTAATTTTAAAATAAAATGCCTTATTACAATTGTGTACACCACTTTTTGTAGATAATGAAATTAAATAAAAAATTAGAAGCATAAAACCTGAAAAAGATAAAAAATGTATGTATGTAGTTGTCATGGAAATAAGAAAGACTTACATTATAAAATAACATTAACAAGGAAAAACATAGTTATGTTAAAGTTGCAGAAATTCATTATAAAATAAACAGACAAGATTCACAGAATAAAAAAACATGTACAAATATTTTGCAGGTAAAGAGAAAAAAAATATCAGACTGAAAGTTAAAAATACTGACTCTCCTCTATTTAATTCGATTCCAGTGGAGTGGAATAGAAAACAGTTTTTTTGCCTAAATTGGTTAGATGAGATTTTAGTCAAACTTTCTTTTTCTAAGTGTCATGTCCCTTCTGGATGTTGGCAATCATAGTGTTAAGAGAATCTGTTTTTATGGATGAAACTTCTGTTTTTTTTTTATGTGGTCAGATGACATTACAAGTGGGGGTCTTTCATCTAGGTATTCGTATTTGTTGGTTTCTTTCTGTCTATATTTCTGAGATGAGGTATTATGTACACTATTTACATTATTCGGACTATTGCCATCATCTTTGTCGCCATGTCTATCACAACGTTTTGGCCGTTGTATGCTCCGGCCTTCTTCAGGTGGTAGGAATGTCAAACTGAACCCTTTATTTTGCTCACTGAGGTAGACTGTTCTAGTTCCACGTGCCATGTCTAGTGGATGTCAGTTATCTCCTATTAATTCCCCTTTCCAAGTTCTCCACTGCCTTAACCAGGCATTGAACTCACACTCTTTAGGTCCTGTCACTGGATCTAACTTATGCCTTTATCCACTGTGCCATGTGTCCTTGGTGCCAAAATTAAGCAAGTGAAGTCAGTTGTTGCCAAAATCTGCTTCAGTGCAGTTTGTTTACTAACCTTCACTGACCTGACATGTAAACTATACTACAGCAACTCCCAACTGAAGTTATTTTGAAGTATTTCTAACTTTTTGCCGATAAGCCTTTGCATTTTTTTTCCTTTTCAGCTACTAACCAAATCACTAAAATTATAAATACTTTCTATGGTTTACAATAAAAACTTTAGTCTTGTGTTCCATTTACAACTCTAGCTTATTTCTTTTATTGCACATGACAATGGCTCTCCACAATTTCCTCTCTTTTGTAGCTTTTAATCAATTTTGTCATTTCTCCTAAAGTCTGTTCTACCATCGATTTACTCAAGATAGGTTATGCATTGTTTTTCTCTGCCTGTCTTGCCTTCAATCTGTCCTGTGAGTATAAAGTTCTCCAAGCCTTCTTTCTTCCTTATGATCACTAGAAATTCTGTCTATCTATTTCTGATGTTCAGAATAAGTGTTCTTTTCATTTCCATTTTCTCTAAAACTTTGTCATTGCTCACATGTCTGATCAATGGTATTCTCAGCATCCTTCTGTAGAATCACATTTCATGTAGTGTTGATGTTGGTAGTGCTCAAGTGATGTGGTTTCTGTTATTTGGTACAGTTTCTGTGATTCTGTAGCGCCATTCCATAATGTTTAAAGAAGAATGATCTTTGTCAAGACTTTCAGTCTTTATGCACACAGAGCCTTTTTACACCATTGATCTTAGGGAGTGGTTGGATACAGCTGACAGTTTAGATATTTCTCAATAGGTTTGGCGCTATGCACAACATCTATATGAAAGTCTCAATCTGATGAGGCTATTTAAGAACATAATTCAAGTTTTCACGTTGATATTTTGATTTTGTAGCAATTTGTGGTATTGGGCGAAACTATTCTATGTTCAATTTATTTTTCTCCTATATTTGTTATGACTGATCCATACACTAAGGTATCCAATGTATTTAGCATTTCCCAATTTCACATCCTAAATTTTTATGATAGATTTGGTGTAGGTACCATCACTGCTTCCATTCCAATTACAGACAAGAGTTTGTTTTGGAAAGGTTTAAGGAAGAATTTTGTCTTCTCTTTGGAATGTATGTAGATTGCTAGCATATGTATTCTTCCAATTTTGAACCATTATTAAGTAAACTTATGAATTGTTTAATTCTGGGGCTGAACTTGGGTGTAACTGAAACTATGGTTGATTGATGTTTATTTTTATTTATTTTTTTTTTTCAGTTTATCAACCCTCTGTGGATTATTTAAAGCTAAAGCATATTTTGTATTGTAAAAATAATCCCCCACCCAGTGAATATTGCATTAACAATTTTTCTGAGAACAACAATGATTTTTCCAGATACAAGTCCTACTATTTAACCCATAGCTGGGGAAATAAAACCATGGAGATTGACAAAAAGGAGAAAACTGTATATAGTTTGTAACTTTTAATTAATAAGTGGAGAATCAGTAGATTTAGATATTTTTAAAAGTAAATTGCAAAAAAAAAAAAGTATTGTTTTGGATCAAAAATCGCACCTTTCATCAAGTCACTTGTATTTTCCAGTTTTTCCTCAGCATCAGAAGGTGAGTTGTCGTCCTTAACGAAGAATCTCCCTGGAGACCGCTTTGTCCTTTTACGTACACTCCAACTTTGGATTTTGTTTGTGCCACTACCTTTAATTCCAGGAAGTTTGCTAACAAATGCTTTTTGAATATATTTGGATCTGATCCAGGCTTCTCGAATACTCCTAGGAAAGAGAGAGGGGAAAAGAGAAAAAAATGTAACATAATGTTATTTTTAATATGGACTTTGTAGTTTTTCTTTTTGTTACTATAAACCAGAAATGGGCAACCTTTTTCGAGAAGTGAGCTGCATAAGATACGACCTGTTATAAAGTACTCCAAGATGGCTAAAAAAAATTCATGGTAAATTTTCATAGAAAATACTTCATTCAATTTAACTAGAGAATACCATACACAAAGTATCTGCCTTAGAAATGGAGGAAGATTTGATTTTTTTTTTCTTTGAAATATTATCTATAATTAAAAAAAAAAACTGATGCCTTGGTATCATGATATTCCTAATGACAATGTTACTGACACATGATGGCTGCATATAATTTGCCTCTAATTTATTCATTTGGGGATGGAAAAAAATTTAAAAGAAAAAAAAATATCTCTAGATAAATAAAAATTATGAATATTTCTTATGATATCAGATCATCTGTAGTAAAAATGGTTCAAAATGATGGAAAAGTTAGCTTCAATGAAATGTTACAAAATTTAAGAAAAAGTTAAGTATGTCATTATGTATGAGAATGTGTGAGTGAACAAGTGGGAATGAAATTAAATATGGAAAGTTTTAATGAATGCTTTTTGAAATTAAGTGTGCCATTAAGAATGCCCATGTCAGCTATAAATGTTATTTTTGGTGGGTACAATATGGTTGAGTTGACATCTCTGTTATTTAAACTGTGAAATTAATGCTGACTGACTTAGAAATTGAGAAGTCATTACTAACCAAAAATATGTTTCCCAACAGGAATTGAACCTGTATTCCCTTTTACTGTCAGGGAATACACTCCTATTGGTGAAATGTTCCTTACCAGTTTGGTCATGGGAAATCATTAGATTTAGTTTTTCTAAATTTTGGTCAATCTTATTTTCATGTTAGTGCTTTATATAGAAAACTTATTATTAGTTAGTGCTTTATATAGAAAACTTATTATTAGTTAGTGCTTTATATAGAAAACTTATTATTAGTTAGTGCTTTATATAGAAAACTTATTATTAGTTAGTGCTTTATATAGAAAACTTATTATTAGTTAGTGCTTTATATAGAAAACTTATTATTAGTTAGTGCTTTATATAGAAAACTTATTATTAGTTAGTGCTTTATATAGAAAACTTATTATTAGTTAGTGCTTTATATAGAAAACTTATTATTAGTTAGTGCTTTATATAGAAAACTTATTATTAGTTAGTGCTTTATATAGAAAACTTATTATTAGTTAGTGCTTTATATAGAAAACTTATTATTAGTTAGTGCTTTATATAGAAAACTTATTATTAGTTAGTGCTTTATATAGAAAACTTATTATTAGTTAGTGCTTTATATAGAAAACTTATTATTAGTTAGTGCTTTATATAGAAAACTTATTATTAGTTAGTGCTTTATATAGAAAACTCAATATGATCTGCCACCTGCTGACAATTCAAGTAAGAAAGAGTAGAGTACGTTGTGATACAAGGCAGAGTAAAGAATTCAATAATACATGAAATGACACACAAATATATATATATATATATATATATATATATATATATATATATATATATATAGTACAGGTTTAAAATCTGTTAGTATATAATCCAAGTGGGTCCTAATAATATGAAAACTAATCCACAAAAAGAGCTCAATGTATTTATTATAATAGAGTATATAAATTACACAACAGAGAAACACAAAATTACCTCATGGGTATAGCCTATTTCAACCCACGCCATCTGGGTTGAATAAGACTGATGTACACGGCGTCAGTTGAAAGACTATACCCATGAGGTAATTTGGGATTTCTCTATTGTTTAATATATATATATATATATATATATATATATATATAATTACTAAAGTGGTATTTTTAGTGGATACTCATATTTGAGTAGATGCTCCATTTATTTATTAAATAGTAAATTTATTTATTTTTGTCTACTGGCCTGAATATTTAAGAAATCTTATTAAAAAAAAAAATGCTCCCTCCAGCAGAATTTGAACCTGCATCCCCCTTGGCAGGAGAAACTGACATTAGATCAAACATTCTTTAGACTGTCTCTGACCACAGAGTGTGTCAATGATCAAGCAAAGTTGAACAGTGTTGTGGATCTAATGACAGTATTTTGCTTACCGATTGCAGTCAGGTGTAGCTCGGACTGCTATGGAATCATCTACGTTGCTCTCATAAGTTCTATTAATGACATCATTCCCCAGCTCGGACATAACTTTTAATAATTCAGGTTCCCAGGCATCAAGAGTTATTGAACGAACTTTAGACATGTGGACTCCAAAACTCCTGAAATGTGAGAGGAAAAAAAGAAAAAAAAAAACCTTTAAAAAAGTGTATTGTCAGTTTTGGATGCTCCTATACAGAAAGGAATATATATATATTTTTTTTTTTTAAATTAATGCTAAAAAGTTTTGTTCGGAAATATTTAAAGAAAAAAAAAAAAGACTAAAATTAAGAGAAATGAATCATCTTTATATGAATCCATCATATAAATTCTTTAAATTTCTGTTTACTATACATTTTCTTATAAAATAGTGGTGTGGTTATTGGCAAAGAAAATGAGATTGGCATGTTGAATTCAAATTCTAGTTGAGGTTGTCATGTTTACTTTTGCAAAAATACCCTTGAAAAGGCATGAAACCATCTCTTCTTCATGCAGAAAGCATTTCAACACAGGACAGACTGAGTTCTCTAACTTTGACAAGCAATCAAAGGAGAAGAAGTGAACACAAGACTGTTTGGATGTTGGACTAGCAATTCCACTCGATCAAAAAATCACTTGCTATGAAAAAGTAGCCTCCGACCGTAGGGTGGCGAGCCTCTGACACTAACATGGCGAAGTTGTGGCCCTATACTCTACAGGGATTCCATACAGTTAACACACATGCATTTAAATTCAGGCATTAAACCTGGAAAGAGTAAACAAACCTTCAATAAGAATGTTCATTCACAATGATGAATGTGTATTTATCCACATGCTCACTCAAGATCAAGCTTAAAAAAAGCCTTTTAGCATTCTGTTAAACATTTGAAAAAATTGGACTTTGTGCTGGACTTCTATGTTAAGGCACTCATATGCTTCATTCAAAATAAATGGGCATTCCATTGAATATCATAAAATGGAAAGGGAGCCCACATGAATGAACCATGAATTGGAGATGTCAAAATCAAACAAGGAGTGTAAATATCTAGGAAGTATTTTAACAGATGATGGGAAATGTGACACTGAAATCCTCCTCAGTGAATGAAGACTGAAAGTAAATAGAAATGTGGTTCTACAGAAGGATGCCGAGAATACCATGAACAGAACTTGTAAGCAATGAGGAAATTTTAAGGAAAATGAAAATAAAAAGGACACTTAGAAAGAGACAGCTGAAATGTTTTGGACACAATGAAGAAAAGTGGTTTGGAAAATCTGGCACTCACAGGACATATTGGTAAAAGAGACAGGTAAAGACAGTAGGCCACCTAGTGGAGAAAAATTGTGTAAACAGATAGTGAAAATAGTGGGGTGGAAATGGAAGGGATGGTAAAAAAGACAAACATTATAAAGAGCTACAAACATGAGGAAGTGCTGCAAAGTGACTAGTCAAAAAAAAAAGTTAAAATGCAAGGGAGGTAACTGCACATACCTGTGAATTCCTGAACACTCGATACAAAGTGTGATGCCAAGGTTGATACTTGCCCAACGAGGATCAGGAGAGGTGCAGTCACAACACCGGTCATTACCTGGAATTGACAGCAGTGTTTCCATACGACTGTGAAAAGAAAAAAATTGTTTTAAGAAATAAAATGAGCATTGTTTTGTTTTTTTATTTTATTTTTCTACAGGGTGATTGAAAAGTAACTTCCCATTTTAAAATACTTATAATTTATTTATTAACAATAATTTTTACAAGAAATAGATATGAGAGGAAACTATTTAACATGAGGTTTTATTTAAAATTCAATATGGGCACCAGATTTCGTTACCAGTTTCTCGAATTGCCAAGGAATCGCGTCAACTGATTTCACCAGGAACTCTTAAGGTATGGAAAACATCACTTCTTGTATTCACCCTTCAAGTTCTTCCAAAGTCTTGGTTTGGCATATTAGATGTGCTCAATTAGTCAATCACAAAGAAAAAAGTCACTGAGTGTTAAGTCAAGCTTCCTGGCTGGGCAGTCCGTTATGTACCATGTGTGATATATGTTTAGGCAATCATGTATCTTTTTATACATGACGTACGAGGCAGATTATTTCCAACAGTAGGTTGCCATTTCTTTCTGCAATAGACCAGCTGCCATCCTAAGCTATAGAACCTAGTCTGTCCTTCTATTTACCCATAGCTGCAGGGAGAAGAGGATTTGTACCTTTTCCAAGGGTATTAGTACATAAGTGAATGTAATGAATTTGACTGGAATTCGAGCTCGGTTCTCCAATTCCTTAATCCGAGCTGCTATCCATTACTCCACTGTGCCTCTCATACTGGCCACTCATACATAAAATAAGGAGTTACCTTTCAATCATCCTATATATCTTCAAAACAACTTTAGATTAATTAATACTGAAGAACAGAAGGGACTTCACCATAGAGCAGTGGTTAGCAAAGTATTCATACATGTCATTACAATTTTAATGAGTTCAATTATAACCTTTTGCCTGACATCTGTGGTACCTATTAATATAGTACATTTAGGTACCTAATTGATATTGGGGGTGGAACCTTTGAGTGGGGTGGTAGAGGAAGTTTTCTGATCCCCTCAAACTTTTTAAGACCATCTTGTTTATAAATTTTGCACTTTTGCATCCTTTAAATTATTTCCCAACCTCCTCTTTTATTAAGACCCCACTCTTGTATTAGGCACCTGAGAGTAATAATTTATTTACATTATTGAAACTAGGACTATTGTCCTCATTTTTATTGTTATTATCCCAATGTTTTGGATGTTGTGCACTCTGGGCCTTCATTAGGAATTCCAGGCTGAACCTTTTATTCAATCTACAGCTGGTAGATTGTTCTCACTCTACTGGCCATGTCTGGGAATATCACATTTACTTCGTATTTAGAACTACTCATTTATTTATTTCTCCATTTCCAAGAGCACACTGCATAGTCCAGGGATTCAACTCACAATTACCAAATTCACAAACCAACTCTTTAAACCACTAGATTATTGTCCCATAATGAGAACAATCTACTCTTATGGACTAAATAAAGGGTTCAGTTCAAAATTTTGTGAAGGTTAACTGAATTGGCAGGCAACAAATGAAGGCCAGAGGGCACAACAGCTGAAACAATATGATAACAACAACAAAGATAAGGACAATAGAGTGAATATAAAAATTAGTGGTTCTCAACCTTTTTTTGGCTATGCTCCATCTAAGCATTGCTAAAATCCTGACCTGTAGTGGTAACACCTAGTAGGGTCTCAGCTATGGGCAAATCGTGAACTCAAAAACAAAAACAAAACACTATACATTTTTATAGTAAAATGGCCAAAAATACATTTGTAGTTGAAGATATAGAGTTTTGTTCAAAATATATTTAGTTGAAGTGATAAAATTGTGTTCAAAATATTTAGATTTCAACATTAAATAACCCATAGAGGTTGATATGTTGCTAAACAAAACAATCAACATGAAAGAATTCTTTCATGACATTAATCCATATAATATCCTACAATTTCTTAAACTGTATTCCAAAATATAACTTGAACAAAACTACAACATAAAACACACGTCATATTCTCTAGTATATCCACACAAACACATATAAGCACAAAAGCTGAGTATCATTTACCATGTATGCAATTATGAAAATAGAATAAAACATTTTTATTATTTCAATGCTCCCAATAAAATTAAATTTCAGCATTAAATGACCTATAAGCAGTTGATATGCTGTTAAACAAAACAAACTAGCAATAAACATCTGCAGAGATGGCCTTTAGTAGCTCATAATGAACGACATCCACCAGACACAAAGGAAGGACTTCTGTGGATAGAGTCCTGGTTTTGGCAATGGCATTGGTTTTTAATTTTCTGACAATAATTACTTTTCTGATGACCTGTAAAATTCATTTTTCACAACATGTACTAAGGTGATGCAAAAACAAAAATATTTTTCCTGGATTTGTTTTGAAAAAAGTGTTCTTGCAAGAGAATAACAATTACTCTCTTAACACCAGAACAGGACACTTTCAGTGTAATGCTAAATTCATTCAATCAAATTACTTCAAATAAACGTCTACAGAGATGGTCTTCAGTAGCTCATCTACCAGACACAAAGGAAGGACTTCTGTGAATGGAGTCCTGGTTTTGGTTTTAGCACTGGTTTCTCGATTTGTCATAACCAATCTCTTTTTCTCATTTTGACATTCAAAACCCACTTTTCATCACCTGTAATGATGTCATACAAAAACTGAAAGGTTGGCATTCCTGGTAAAAAGGCAACTGCAGATGGTGGAACATTGTTTGGTTCTCAAGTGAAGACTCAGCAGGAATTCAAATACTTTCTTTGCATGTTTTCCTAATTAAGCTCTGAAATCCATTATAAACAATACACTGTCAGATAGAAGAGATGATAAGAAGAGATGATAATCTAATCCTAGACCCAGTTTCTTACAATTCAACTATGGTTCTGCCTAGGTTACTGGACTCATAAATCATATCAGTGAAATTGCTAATTACTTTCTGAACACCCTAAAATATTCCTATCAAGACATTTCTCTCTCTTTCTACGGTGAACAGAAACAAAGAAAACAATAGTCAGTTCTATGTTGAACAAAAGTAAAATTACTTACGGTTTTGATCTATTTTGCTTGTGAGGTATGGAAGCTGGGGAGTTGTCATTTGGACTTCCAATATCTGGACTGTGACCACCCTGAGAATTTTCATTTTCATGCTAAATAAGAAAAATGAGAAAATTAAAGAGGCAACGAAAATGTAAGCAATGATACAATGTATACAAGGTCTGTCTGGAATCTATTCAACCATTTTTGAATATTAAAGAAAAAAAAACAAATGCGCAGTCTTGATCTAACTTGATAACCAATGATAGCAGATGTTACTGTGTATGCATGAACAGACACTATGAAGTTAATCAGCAGTGAAATGTCGTTGAGCAAGTTGTACACTTTTTGACTGTTACATTTACCAAGAGAGTAGATTCATCTGTAGCATTTTGGCAAAATATCCCTTCACCCAGGAGTGTCAGTCTCTTGATAGCTACAATTTGGCTCTTGTGACTTCGCGCTTTTTCTAAAGCTAAAGTAGTTGCAGACAACATTTTGTGTCTAGGCAGCTAATGGTGATCTTCAAAAAGAACTTTGGAAAATATTTTGATAGAAGTTAGGGATGTTGGGTTAAATGCATGACATCCCGTGAGAGGTACTTTTATGAGAATTCAGGTACCATTGCCTTAGGTAGGCTATCTTTTGTTCTTATTGTTGAATAGCCAAATGCTTTCTGGAAAGACTTTGTACATAAACAATATCACAAATGTAGTTACTGAAGTCAATACTAGTTTGAATATACTTTTCAGATTTCTTCAAAGTATGTGTGCAATATCTAAAGAAAGGGATAGATTTTTATTTACATTATTCAGACTATTGTCCTCATCTTTGTTGCCATATTTATTACAATGTTTCGGCTGTTGTACACTCCGGCCTTCTTCAGGTGGTTAGAATGTCAAACTGAACCCTTTATTTCCTCAAGGACACATGGCACAGTGGATAAAGTTCCTTATTTGGTTCATTCCTTCAGTTTTGTACACATGACAACTGTCAGGCACAGATTGAAAATAAACTGTTGCAAAATTTAAATATCAATATTTATAACCTACTATTAAGAAAGTGGAGCAGTCCATTTACTTATGAAAAAAGTAATTTTTTTATTATTAGTATATAAGGTTTTAATATGCAAAACAACTGAAACATTAATTATCAGAACGCAAATGAGAATAATGATGCTTTTAAATTTTGGATACTAAGTGTACAAAATATAAGTGATGTGGGTGCGAAAGAAACTATGACTTTTGTTCTCCCCCACTTTCTAAGCACATTTTCTTCTTTTCATACTCACTTCATCAGGATTGTTTCTGTCAGAACTGTAGGCCTTTGACACTCCTGCTTGGATGGCGCTTATCCATTTTTGGCAGAGTTGTTCAGAATCAGCTTGCAAAATATGATTTCTGTAAAAAAATAAAATCAAATCTTACTTATTATAAAACGCAGATTGTGTGTGTGTGTGTCTGTATGTTTATATATTGGATCGGATTTCCTACATTTTTCAACCGATTTCAACAAAACTTCACAGGACTATGTAAAATTACGTTGCGGTGGTTTTAACAGCGCCAAAAATTAGAAAAACACAATTGTTTTTGCACGAAATCAATTTGAAAACATGATTAAGAGGCAACACGAGAATGAAAGAGGGACGACTCATATTGAGTTATACTTATTATAAAACCCAGGTTGTTTGTGTGTGTGTGTGTGTGTGTGTGTGTTCATTTATATATGGGATCGGATTTCCTACATTTTTCAACCGATTTCAACAAAACTTCACTTATTTTGGCAGGTAGTGTTTCTTATTGTCTTGCACACTTTTTTCTTTATTTTTACATTCCATTTACAAGACAATTGTTTATCATAAAATTCTATTCAATCGGTAGACTCATAACGATTGAAAACAATGTTTTTTGTTTGAGTTTTGACCAATTAAACAAAAAAACAAACAAAAAAAAAAACTAATTAAGACATGCGTGTCCGTCAACCTTAAACAATAATCTTTGTCAATTTTATTTTCAGTCTTTATGATGGTCGTTACTTGATCTATCTCTTACTGTTACATCCCCGGGCAACGCCGGGCTCTACTGCTAGTAAAAAAATAAAAGTAAATTAAAGCTCAAAAAAACAAAAACAAAACAAAACAACACCAAAAGCAGTAAGTGTTCTTTTATCACAGTCCAGTATCTCTGTTTTATTTCCTCCTTTATTCATTCCCATTTTAAATTAGGTACATTTTACAGTGTTATCTTGTCACCCCCTACATAGTTCTCCTTGAGACCTAAAGTTTAGAATGAATTTTTAAAAATGAAAAAACTTTCATGAAGATTTCATTTTAGCTTTAATTGAAAGCTAAATGATTAAATTTATTTCTAATAAGTAAAATATTCTAGTGTATTTTAGATAGAAATTATATAGTTTGGAATTTCAAATTTAATTTTGATTTAAAGTTTAATTTTTCTGATTTGTAATAAATATTACTTAATTATAGTCTAAAAAATTAATATACAACCATTTGTTAATGATTGGTACTGTTTACTAAGCCAATAATTGATGTACCATTGAATGATGAAGTGATGGCAGCTAGTTATGGATGACCTGAATTGACAAATTTCTGAAACTAATTTCAAATATGAATGAAATAAAGTTTAAAAATATCTTAAATTTATTAAACATTAGTTTTAAAATTAAACGTCTATCAAAATAACTGTCATTAAAAGGAATAAATTGAAAAAACTAAAAAAAAAAAAAAAAAATTTGTTTCTCTTTAAGAATGTTTTAAAAAAAATTACTCAATGACCCACACCAATGTAAATACATAAAATTAAAATATTTAGTGAAATAGTAATTGAAAAAGTAAAACTTACTTAAATTTTAAACTTTTAAAGCTGAATGAAAAGCAATTGAAATGTAAATAGTAATGAGTGAATTTCTCTGTAAAGGGACGAAACTATTAGATCAGTGGACCTTTTGATAATAATGTTAATTTAAGCCTACCATAGCCAAAAAGAAGGAACATATTAAGTAAAAAAATAAAAAAATTATTTAAAAAATAGAATAGTGCAACTATGTTTATTAATCTTTTCAATTTTGGATTTGTAAATGTTGTTTCCACTTAATTACTATATCACATCCAAGAAATAGCCCAATACAGAATTATACACGATTTTTAAACTATTATAAATTATCATGATTAAAATTTAAAAAAAAAAATGAAAAAAATTCTTGTATAAATTCATTATTCATCAGAAAAATTTTATTTCTTCAGACAATAGTGTCCTTAATATAACTTATTTACAAAAGCAATTAAATGGAAAAAAAAAAAAAAAAATGATGTTTTTAATAATATTTTTGCAATGAGAATAGATTAGTTATCTCTATGAAAACATGATACCTCGGGTTTAAAATAAATTTTTAAAAATGAAAAATCTTTTGTAAAGCTTTTATTTTAATTTCAAGCTAATAGATTAAATTTAATATTTTCAATAAGCAAAACACTTTGCTGTATTCCAAAACTAATTTAAATTGACTGGAAGGAGTTTCCATTTTGAAATCACTAAGCATTCTTCAGTTAATGATTGAATAAGCTCATGGCAAGTGCAACAACAATAGAATAAATATCTGTTGAAATTCCTCCATCGCATTGCTAAATATTTAAGCATAAACAAAATATTGCAATAACAATCATAAATATGAATTCTGGTCATTATTTTAAGAAGTAAGAGGGTACAAATAAAAGGATTTGAAATTGACAACTTTTTTCATTTCACAGAAACTGATGTTAAGCACTTCTACCATCTTCCTTTCTTTCATTTTCTCACTGAAATTAAGTAGGGTCTTGGATATGTCTTATCTTTGCATGCATCAAAATGGAATAGTCCATTTTTTATGAGGTATTAGCAGGGA